TCGAACATTAATCTGGAAGATGTAATCGTAACTTTGCATATCCTGGGTCAAGAATCCGGGCTTCTTGATTGCACATGTCCCTCGTCCGTAGACACCATCATTATTGATCTTAAATTTAAGAAGTCAAACTACCAGAATTAAGATACCAAGAAATCTAGATGTCCGAATTTCTCGACAGTATCGTGGACCAATTTGGACATGAAGTCCTCTTCGGCTAAATTCCGACCAGCGCGAGTATGTCGCTTTCCGAGGCACCAGTCGCTACACATTCCTTTTTGGTTTCCTAAACCGCCCTATATGGTCTTTATCGACTGAATAGGTATTAAATTCGTTTTACATAACTTAACCTACATTCAAGGCGGCTTCACTTCTTCCGGTGATCGTCACCTTCGCTCTGTGGGCGGCAAATGGACCGCGATCCCGCGGCCGATGCCGTTGCTCGACCCTGGTGGACATAAATTTTAGCATACTAAGTAGTATCATTAATCTGCTATCAACTACAAAAAACGCCCATTAACAGGTTCCAAAATACCTATCGTAATCGATTATCCCTACCTGTAATCAAAGCCACTTTCCTTCAAATTGCTTGACCATCGTGAAGTATTTCTCTTCAAAAACGAGGCATAACAATTAGCCATAATTTGTTTAGAAAAATTAAGATATATCGAGCATCATGGTGAGGTGAAGGTGTAAAATCAAGTTTAGAATAGCTATTATCCCTGACGGTCTTGTGGTGCATGAACCGTTATATACCCAACCCGAAGCCCGGATCTCCGATGCTACCCACACCAAGGTCAAACCACCCAAAAACTGTCAGTGAAAAGCAGCTAAGCGGAAAATTGAAATTGAGATGTGGCCGCCTTGGGAATAGTGAAGCCCAGTTTATCAAATCGACCCGCCATGTGGCCACCCGCCGCCTCGATTCTACGGCTTTATTTTCGGCTGGAAAATCGCCAGGGACATAACGTGATAACGCCCACAAATTTGCACACAAAATGGCAGAAAACGGTTTGTGTATCGTTACATCATCAAATTAAGGTTTATGTCTTGCCTTTGCATCACCATAGTCCGCACAAGATGATCATGGAAACACCTTGCATCATGAAAGGTGCGAATTTTCTTCAGGTTATCGTAACGGAAACCCAAATATTTGGATTTTTTTGGTGGCCGATCGTGGGCTGTAGTTTCGAATGAACTTGTTCTACATCCACAGACCCGAATTTCCTAGCTAGTTTCATCACAGCAACCAGAATTTTTGAATGTTGTTGGGGCCTGGGTTGTAGGATGTAGTCGCGAGCAGAATAGGTTTGTCGAGCTCAAAGAATTTTTACGACGCGTACTGGTTCGCATACTATTTTTTGGTGTCTACCTGACCTATTTTTATGCTGCACATCATGGTTTTGATAGTTGCATTGTGTGATTATCCATCGCCCTTGTACCTTTAAAAACAATATGAGCAGCATATGAGCTGGAGAGGCACTACGAAGCGCGAAAATCGACCCCTATCGAGGACTAGGTGTTGACAGGGTGACCTGCTGAAAACAGGACGAACGTCTCGATTTGCGCTCCCAGGTGCTTTAGACAGTTCCAATCAGAAACCAGGTTTTATGCGACAACTTTGTTTAAGGTCGAAGCTTTTCAAAATTTCAATAAATGCAGTCATCAATGACAATTGTCGGCGCCCGTTTTCTCAAAATCAGCATCTTTCGTTCAGCAATTGTATAAGATATTGACGAAATCACGGTTCCAACTGCCAATATTGCCAATTGGACATACAAGCTTGCAACGCTGCCGTAGAACATGCAAATTGCGGTGAACAGAGCCTGAAACAACGATTTTCCTTGGTCTTCTTTACTGTCAAAAGTTGGTGAAAATCGGAAACTGCCAACTTCATGCCAAAATTTGCTCAACGCAAATGCAGGTCCTGTTCTTCCATGATACCGTACGGAAATTAGGGCATAAATTTGAGGTATTGACACAGCAGTCGCTGAATCCGAGCAAGACACCGCAAATTAGGGCTATGGCTATGCTAAATAAAAGAAATTGAGTGCTATTTTACGAAGTGATTCCCACCTAGGCGAGCCGAAGATCGGCTTATCATACGTTTTCTCGAAAGAAGCAACGCCTGGTAGATTTAAGGCTACCAGCGTATAACAAATAAGGCTAGCGGCGGTCCCCATCCACATCGTGTACCATCTACCGACTCGAGAGGACCATTTTCCGAGGAGGGCGAAGAGGTAGACCGCCTAAAATCTCGAATTTTAGGAGAAAGAGCGAGAGCGAGAGTGATTTAGAGAGCGAGAAAACGAAAGAGCCAGAGAGAAAGAGAGAGAGAGAAAGAGAGAGAGAGAGAGAGAGAGAGAGAGAGAGAGAAAGGCGTGAGAGAGAAAGAGAGCTCACCGGACAGTTGCCCAACACCAGTTGCAATGCTATTATACGCCATCAACTGATTCGTATTAATCGTAAACGCTTTTGTAAAGGACAAAGCAGTGGAGTAGACACCGCTAAAGAACGAATTCTCGATTCCAGTAAAAGCCGATGGAATTGCGATCAGCCACTGGTCGACAGTGCCCAGCATCCGGACGGTTTTCACTAGAAATTTCGGCTTGGTATCGGAGTGTCGTATAAATTCAATGCAAACGTGCTTCAGGCCAGAACCCACTTAATTCCATCCGGTGACTAACTGCTGCTGCCTTCTTGCCGGTCGATTTCTGCTGGAGAAGTCCGAGAACGACGACACCAACGAGGGCAACGGCCGCAAAAGTTCCGTACAGGATCCTAGTCGTGCTCATCGAGATGTTTTTGTCTGGTTTTTGGCCGAAAACGACGAGCAGGTAGATACCGCCCAGCACCATGCTAAAGATGAAAATTAGAATAGTTTGAGAAAGGCGCGCAGCAACCTATCCTGTTTTTGCCAAACCGCCAACCGATTTGGCAATGAAAAGTTTTGGAATCGCTGAGACCTACCAGGACATGTAGAGCATCCAGAAAACATTGCTATTCCTCGATATCGTCCTCTCATTACTGTTCTCGGCAACGTAAAGCCCCACCGACGTCCACAACACTAATTCTGGGTTCATTTTGTCTGGATTCTGGCTCACACCCTCCCATGAAGCCTTCAAAGGCCGCGGAAGCGTAGAGGTAGTATGGGTTCAAAAACAGGAACCCGGCCATGTAGAGGACGTACGGGAAACTGCCGAAAATGATGGAGAGACGACGCCCTGGAAACCGGATTTATTTTAAAAGGAACTGGCAAGGCAAAATTACGTAGTTAGGCGATAAAATTAAGACTTCCTTAACCATTTCATAGCCTAAATTAGACATTAACTCGCCTAGAAAAGAAATTATCGGTGGTGCCAACAGATTCCCAACCAAAAATGTCGAATAGATGATCGTCTGGCTAAATATTCAGGGGTAAAGGGAGTGGAACTCCTGGCGATGAGCATTTTTTTGTGGCGACAAAATCTTACCTGTAGTATCCTGCATGTTTGGCTATCCTTCGGTCGGTCTCATGTCGATTTTCGAGTACAGTTTCGACAATAAAAGCTTGTGAAATAAAAGCAAAAAAGACGAGCATCATCCCGATGCCGAGTTGAATGATGTTTAGAAAACTTCGCTCTGGCCATTGCATTTTCTGAAAATGGAAAAGTATGGGGAATGGCGAGTAAAAACGGTGACACTTTAACGAGAGGGAGAGAGAGCGATAGGGAAAAAGAAAAAGAGAGAGAACGAGAGAGCGAGACAGAGAGAGAGAGAGATAGAGAAACGTAAAGATGGAAAAAGCTGCAAATGATAGCAAAATCGCTATTGAGAAACTTAAGCAATTTAGCAATTTTAAAGCACGATAAGCGTACCAATGTTGAAATTACTAGAATCTAGCTAGAGGAGCTGTGTTTTTCAAAGCAGGGCAGCTCACAAAACCGGAAATCAGGGTTGGTTTCCCGCAATTGGCGCTGAAAACAGAGCTAAATATTGTAGGGAAGTGCCCAAACAACAGGCAAAAATCCTCACTGGTAAGCAAAAGTGAGTACTATTGTTCTTACCGCGTGAAGCGGGACTTTTTTGGTCTCTGGTGGCGGGTGCGGGCAAAAATGGATAAGCGACCCCGCATATCCCCGCCACCGGCATGCCGCTTTATGGCTGGCGGATTGCCGCGTCTTCACTGGAATTATAATAAGTAGTAAATGTTGAAAAAGGACTGCCTTTGGCCTGGAAACATCGGCACATAAACCTTCGGAATGAAAGATAGATGGGGTCCGGGCTTTTGATAAACTCAAAGCCTGAAGAATTCTTTGCGGAAAATAGAGCTCGGTATGATGTGGCGTTTTGTATGAAGCCGCAAGATGATGCTTATTTTGAAAACATGATATTTCTCGTATGACCCTTTGTTCCGTTTTTCCAACCAGCTTTTGATTCCGATTTTTGATTGTTTCGCAACTTATTTTTGGATCATTAACCAAAATTTTTCTCCGAGGGTCATAAATACCTCTAAAAAATTGTTTATTATTCTTAAATAAATGCACTAATTTTGTTGACTAATTCATTATATCTTAAGTTTTTTGTAATAAAAAGTAAGTTCGTGCCTATTTTTTTGCCTACTGTCCCTACTTGATTTGTTGGGCGTTGCAAGCCAAAACATTTTTACCTGTCTCAACCATTGAAAAACGGCTTAAGTAAAGAAATGGGTTTAGGGCTAATTTCCCGTTCGGTGGGAGTCTGACCCATTATGAACGGCAACTTTCCGCTACGCCACTTCCACCCATTTTACAACTTCGTTTTCAGCTACCCGCCATACTAAAACCGGAGGCCAAACCCACGATAAACCGCCCGGATTTCCAGGGTACGCCTATTAACAGACGTTTACTCCCCGTTCTGTGTAGTGATCTTTATGTTTCAATCTAATACATCAAAAATTGGATGCGTTTATCAATTTTATCGGCTTCCCGATGGAAGCTACATCATTGGGGGGATAAATAAATAGTGGAGAGTTCGTGGAATTAGAGCGAGATCGTTCTGGATGCTGTGATGACCGCTACGCCGACCAGCGTCAAAGAATAGGCGACGGCGAGGAGGGTGATGTTGCGATTTCCCTAAAAATGGCATTATTTCTAAAAGACTAATTTTTCCATTTTGCAAATATTTTAAACGATAAAATGTTAATTTTAAAATTAATTTTAATTTTAAAGTGGAGCGTTCGGCTGGGATCACTTTGGAGCATCATTAACTCGAGATTTTAAAGGAACCGGCAGAAGCTCACGGTTTCCACAATTTCGTTGTCTCTGGTTTTTCGTTGATTTCCGCGTCGCGCACGCAGCGCGCAAGCGAATGGACCGCGTAAAAGGGCTGAAAATCGATTATGCATTGCGTCTCGCGTCCCGCCCCTCTTCCCGGGAAATTTTCTAGAGAATTCATAGCCATGAAAATCTAAGTAAATACTATTCCCTACCGTAATTTCTTTAAAGTACAACACCTCCATAGTGACACGACAAGCCCGGGCAGTTGTTGCGACGGTGGGAGGTAGGCGACGATCTGAATTTAGCAATTCGAGCCTGTAGTCTTTAAGAGCCGTGTTTTTGTTTCATTGTTTTCGAAGTAATAACTAAATGTACCTAGGTGTATTAACACCTACCGGCGATATTTCTCATTTGCAATCATAAAGAAGCAAATTCCGGCCCCGAACATCAGCCCGCCGTAAGAATCAGTGGGATTGTGATGATCTGTGGTTCAGTTCTGGCTTTCCGCGTCTGAAAATCCTTTGTTTTAATGATTTAATACACCCAGTTAGCTTACTTTGCATAATGTTGAAAGAAAATTGTCGCTGAAGCTCCATACGCCGATAAAGAATGAAAAAAATGTAGTCAAGTACTTTGCCGTAGGGGTAACCGCCAGGCTCTAGAAAAAGTTAAAGAGCATAAATCCCATAATGTAATAAACAATAACCCAATGCTTCTAATTATGTTACAAAATCTACGAGACAAAAATGCGGCCAAAGCTTGCCTTGCAGGTAAGAAGCTGGAGTCCCCCCGATCCAATAAAAGGTCCCGACAGGCAGGCAGCACAGCATCGTTCTAAAAACTAGAATATTTTCGATAAGTTTAGGGCCCCACACAAAAGTCATTGGTCAACGATGCGAGCCGCGTTTCCGGCGACTTCTTCCTCTTTTTCTGGACCCAAAAATGCATATAAAGACAAGTTTCGTTACCTTTTTTCCCCCAAATCAATATGAGCTGCAGAGCCGGGGGCGTTCCCCTTGATGAAGAGGGCAAGCGAAAAAGGGTATAAATGTTTACACGCAAGGCTTTTATAAAATGCATTTTATGGATTCTGGGTTCAGAATTAGACCCGAAGCTGCAATGAGGGTAGCAAGACGCCGATATAGTTCAGCAATTCACTTTGCCGGGAGCTGCGCGCGTCGACTCCCGATAGACCGAGATCTGAAGGTAGTGATGATTACCAGTGGAAAAGACGGCCGCGGCCCTTTCCACTGACCCCGTCTAGGGAATCACGAATTCCCTTTCCTTATTGCGTTCGCGGCGCAAGAGCTTGACCTCAAGGTATCTATTAACTGTGTATTTCGGCGCTAGGTTCATACCGATTTCGCTCGGATTTAGCCCGCGGCGCGCAAGCGAAGTCAAGGACCTTTTTTTTGCCCGCGCGCGCCTGAGCCAGCATTGCGTTAGGGGCTCCGAAGCCTGCGGCGCTGTTACTGGTTTATCTCCAGGATTTACCGCGGCGCGCGTGTCTGGGGCAAGGACTCAGCGTTACCTGCGGCGCCAGACCCCGCCTTGGCCAAGTATGCTTTATTCTGCGGCGCAGAGCGCAGGGCCAGGCCGAAACCGGCACACCGAGGGTTTCCAGCGGGTCATGTTTTGTTGTTTAAATCTCGCAAGCTAAGTTACATTCGGCGCGCCTCTTGAACCTCGACCACGCGCTTGTTAGACCGTGGGCGCCCACCGCTGGCCACACCCTAAGAGATGGCGATGGGTGCGGAAAGCCCTTTCTGTCCTGGGAGGCGCCTCACCGGTAGGGAGAACTTGGTAACTTAAAAAATTTTTTTGAGTCTCGAATGTGGCAAAATTTGCAAAATAATAAGATGCGCGTATCCCCACTATCGAATTACAAGTGGACCAAATTCCAGACCAAAAATTCCATCTGGGCTTCGAGTTATGCCCTGACACCACGGCTCTTCGCCCATTTTATCTCAGCCGACCTCTAGTGAATTCGCTGGCATAAATTAACTTTATTTTAAATGAATTTGGCAAAATCCAGAAAAGAAGATCGGGAGAATTGTTTCTTCCATTCACCCTGCAAAAATCAGCGCCCAACTCCTTCTTAGTGGCCGAGAAAACCTCCGGACATACCTTTTTTTTCAGCGAAATTTGGCGATTTTTCGCTATTTGGCTTGTGTAACGTCAAATGAAGGGAATTTCGCAAAAACAAAAATGCATCACTGACAAATGTAGCCCACCTCCGTGCCAAAAATCGGCTTCAGGGCCTGGCGCCCGACCGCCGAGAAATCGGCTGTACAGAAAACGACAAACTTCCACAAAGTAAGGAAGTAAAGTACTGTTGAATATGGAAAACCTACCAAAGCACCACAACGCTCCCCCGAACATGACGAGCGGGTATACGGTAGGCGGGTAGTAGATGCCGATAGGAAATGTGATCAGAAAAGCGCCGAGGGAGAAGAAGAGCTGCGCGTAATAGCCTAAAGTACTCCATAGACCTTAAGGTTTTTTCAAGCCTACCATCACCCATCGGATGTCTTCTCATCGGGACGAAGACGCTCCCAAACAAGATGGAAGCTAACAGGCAGCATAAGAACCCGTCCCACATATTCTACCACTAAAGGTAGAGAAATTTGATAGAAATTGTTTATAGGGGATGTTAAGAAGAGCGATAGAAACAGAGAGAGAGAGAGAGAGAGAGACAGAGAGAGAGAGATAGAGAGAGAGAGACGGGAAGAAAGAGAACTATAGAAAAAGGGAAATAGAGAGAGAAAGAGTAAAATACCGAGAGGTCCTTTTGCTACCGGAAAGCAAGGCCAGCCTCCAAATCGAAATTTTTTTCGCGGTATTTGGGCATTAAGAAAATGATGCTACCCTTTCTAGCCTGGACTTTAAAATAGCGGTTCCCGTGAAAATAAATAGAGAAAAATGTGTAAAACCTCCGCCAGGTCGACCGCCTTTATGCCAAAGTCATATTCGGTACACCCAAACGGAGCGCGCTCTATTTTTTGGGGTTATAAGGTCCGGCTGGACCCCTGTGACCGCTGCAAGGCAAAAGCCTACACCAACCCCCAACTTTTCGCGGAACATCATGCCAGATTATGCAAAAATAAGACCCCTCCACCGGGTCAACGAATCGCGCGTCTATTGCTGCCCCGGTTAGACAAGCCGTCCATTGTTGGGGGGTTTACTATTAAAAATCGTCTGGGATTGTTTTTGGGTTGTTTTCAGAGTACAGATATACCGGGAACCAATCCGGACTGGTTTGTTAAATTGGGTGGGCGGTGGGAGACGTAGGCGTGAAAGGTAGGATAGTGCGATGTGTCGAAAATAATACGCCAAAATTGGAAAATCTGCCCATTCAGTGGGCAACGAGCGCAAAAGTTAGATGTGATAGTAGACGTGAAAGTCTAGCCTTTGCATTTATCGTGAAAAAGCTTTTGAACCAGAGGCTCATTTAACAAGCATGAATTTTATTTTATTAATAATTTAGATAGTTTCGCAGATAATTTAGCATTTCTGAATTTTCGAGCTCCGAAAAGAAGCTGGAAAGGGAGGCTAAAACGTTGGGGAAGCCTTCGGCGGGCTTTTAAAGGGACGGGCAAGGCTCGGCTCTAAATTCTGATGCACTTGAATTTCGATTGCGGGCCGAATCGATCACGCAAAAGAAAGGCTGGTGCCAGCGTAAAGCAACGTCTACCTTCAAAGGCCTTGAAAATGATGAAAAATCAATTCCAGCCGTTTAAGACAGCTTAGGAGTTCAAGTGAGTGCCAAAAATAGTTGAATATTTTTGAGTATATCATGATTGGGTTCGTATATTTTTGATGATGGTAGAGTAAGGCGAAATTTATCTAGCAAAACCCCAAAAAAACCATCGGAAAAATTCCACACAAACTGGTCAAGAAAATCAGTGAAAATTCCCACATTTAATGCAGTCGGGGAGGGGTACTGAGGACAATAATGTACGCGGTAAAATGAGAATAGTTTGAGCTGCTGCCGGTACGCCCGGTCCATCAACACGGCCAGGGCACGGCGCGTGTTCTTCTTCTTCTTATTTTCTATTCTTTGCATACCCTTTTGCCCCGGTGGTCCAGATAATAGGTTAAAGAGGGGAGGGGGGTAGGAGTAGATATAGAAAACTAGTTTGTGCCGCACGGTCACTACCGGCACCACAATTTTCCGGCCTTAAAAAATAAATAGGGTGAAAAGTAAATAAGGGCATCGTTATCATGGGGTCCGCCTCCCCAAAATCTCCCAGCCGCCTGGTTGTTGTCCTTTGGGGAATTTTTTATATTGATGAAACCGGTAAACAGCCGCCGGCCACAAAATCAAAGGCTAATATGATGGGGGGAGGTGGCTATATTTAGCTCGATAAGCTGCTGTGGAATTTGAAAAATGTGTTGTTGCAGTAATCAGTTTTGCGTTTTGACAGTTTCTTTGTGAGTCTTACCGGTAATAACTTTGTACTTCTGTATCGCCTCGCATACCACAGATTTTAAAATTTTGTCCTACTGTGATTTCGATATTTTCCCCCATACTTTAAACCATGTTTTTAAAGTGCTATCATTGTTGTTTTTTAAACGAAACAGCTTCAGAGAAAATCTTAGTTTTTTTTTAAATAAAGCCCCGAAAAAGCATAGATACCTTATGACCTGAATTTGGGGCGAATTATGTTAGTTTTGAGTCTTTTCCTTTATCTATTACCAATTCATGTAATTCTATTCATTAGCAGGTCACTTTTTTCATAGACAATTTTACATAGTTTTCACAAAATCACGGAAAAACGTTTAATATTTCAATATAGTTTCAAAACAAATATTAAATCGTCAGATTCATCCAGAGAATATTTTTAGCATTTATCCTATTTTGTTTTATGCGCGTTATTGCGGTGTTTGTGCCATGTTATAACGACTAGGTCAAACGTATGTATTAAAACATGAAAATGGGCATCCTAAAACTTGTCCCATTCTTCACCCGTGTTGTCTGAAGAAATTGTGGCTGCCGCTAGCCGCCTTTTCCGTTTGAACCGAAGCTCTCCGTATTGGAATGAAATGACGGAGACGACGGTCCCAACTAACAATATCGATAGTTGGGTTTGGATCGTGAATTTGCCGCCGTAGAAGAGGCACACGGCGCCGAGCAGGGACTGAAACCGTACAGGGTGTCCCAAAAAAAAATCCCCCCCCCCTAGCCGGCCGCAGACATGTCCGATTTTTACGATTTAGGTATCTATCGTAAGCTCTCGGAAAGGCGAGTCCAGCACGTCTTGCGGATTTGCGAAATGTTGGAATTTTTTGCTCGATTTTTGGCATTTTTGATGCCAAAAGGACAGACTTTTTTGTTCAAAGCGCAATATAACCGGTCTAAGAGCTGTCCAAGCTGTGTTTTGGCAAACGGCTTTCAAAAAACTGTCGCTGGGTTGCCAGGAAAGGTGTAAAAATTCTCAAATTGCGATTTTTGCAAAAAAACCACCTGGTCAGAACAACATCAGAAAATCCGCCCATTTGGCAAAAACATTAGTAAATGATAGAAAAATTTCAAAGCTTTGAGAATCCAAAAGACGTGCTGGACTCGCCTTTCCGAGAGCTTTCGATAGATACCTAAATCGTAAAAATCCGACAGGTCTGCGGCCGGCTGGGGGGGGGGGATTTTTTTTGGGACACCCTGTATAGGAAAATTAAATTGCATTAAATCTTGGTAGCTAGATTAAAAAGACAAAACAGTAAATTAGGGTGCAGAATGGAAAAAGTGGCGTAAAGATTCTTCCAAAACCCGAGGATCGACACAAAAAAATACATTTTAGGCTATGAAATTTGCATAAAATTCCACTTCCTAATGCATACGTCATATGATTAAAAATCGGCAAAATCCGAGTAATTCCCGATAAACTTTGTATATAGTTATCATTATTACGTAGATAGTAACCAAACCTACGTGGAAAAACTTCGAAAGCGCATAGGCCTGCTTGGTCTGTCCTTCATATTGCACGGCAATATACGCATATATCATCGAATTAATGCAGTTATCAAAAAAGCCCATGATGAACCCGCAAATTAGCGCGATTGGCACACTAAAAAGTGGTTATTATTGAAGATCCTTCCTTACGTGAGGCTACTACTTACTTTGGATGGAACGTAGAGACCTCATAGGTCTTATCAATTGAAGCCGGACCAGGTATATTTAGCCATACGAGAATATAAGCAATTATACTAAAAATGGACTTGAAACAAGGCATTTTGAGAAAATTATGATGTTTTTAGTAAAAGGCTCGTTTTTCACGATTTTCCACTTACCTTAAAATAGTCCCAAACCACACAAAGGGAGATCTGCCGATTTTAGCACCCTTTCGGCCAAAAACACCGAAAATAAGACCACCTATAAGGCTTAAGAACTAATTCTGAAGGTGTAAAATGCGTACCCAGTAATTCACCACATCCTACGGCTATACAATTTAACGCAATCAGTACATTTGTGTTGATTTGACTATGGAATTGCTTCGTAAACGAGAGGGAGGTAGGGTAGACGCCGGACCTGAAAGAGATAGACTGAAAAATGATCGCTAATGAGCGAAATACGCTTCTGAGGGTTGCCCCATTCTTGCCTTTTCCCTATTTTGAAATGCTTATATACCTTTGAATTCAATTTTTGTGATTTCATAGTTTTAATAGTTTTAATATAGACTTATTGATTTATTTTACTATCAGGGCTTACAAAAAAAGTAAAATCTATAAAAGAAACGAATTCTAGGCCAGGCTTACCAAAACGATAGCTCAATGCCAGTGAACGCCGATGGAATAGCAATAAGTAGAAAATCAAATGTAATGACGAGACGAGCGGATTTATCTGGAAAATTCATTAATTTTTATTAACAAGCTTAGCTTACACAACTCTTCCGCCACCTCTCCCCAGTGATTTTTTTCCCCATCGGCTTCAAGCTTCTTCTCATCGCTTGGATTTGTCGGGGGATTTGGTAGCACTAAGAGAATAATGGCTCCAAGTAGTGACACCCCAGTAAAAACACCGTAGAGGACGTACTGTGTAGATTCTGTTCAAAACGATATTAAAAAATGTTAATGGTCGTACCTGTAATTTCTCGATCATCTTTCCCTCCAAACATTGCGAGGAGGAACCCGCCTCCCCAGAGGGTTCTGAAAAAGGAATATAGAGTAGAAATGGGCGCCAGGTCGCGAAATGGCCCGTTACCTAATTCGATTACGCTCCGATACAAGAACATACTTACCCCGACATAATTATCATGTACATCATGCTACTATTTCTGCCAACCGTCTTTTCATCGGAATTCATCGCCATGTATTGACCGACGGCCGTCCACATGACTAAAAGCCCTTTTTATGAATATCGAAATATTGATAGCTTTCATTGTTAATTCCTAGTATTAGGTTTCAAAATTTTCTTAATTCTTGGGTACAATTCAAATAGGCGGGGGGGGGGGAAGGTGGGCCTATAGGCAGAGGGGGTGCCTAGAGAGTACGGCGGGCGCAGAGACGCAGATTGCCCCCCGCCTAAATCTCCCCCGGCTATTTGAAGAGTACCAATTCTTGATATACAGGGTGTCCCAAAAAAAACCCCCTACCTAGCGGTCCGCA